CCATTATGAAAAAAGGAGGCTTGATTATTTAATAGTTCTTTTTAGTGTGTATCTATTATGATCATAGTTTGAGTCATTTTTATTTCTACAGGTCTGTTACGGCCCCTAGTGGTTTAGATACACCTAAACATCATCGTGGTCCTGGCACCAAAAGCTCTGAGAAGCATAAAGTGCTACAGGGCAAACTGTAGGAAGCAGTGAAGTGACAGGGCCTGCAGAGCCTGGGTGTGTTTGACAGTTCTGTGAGTGAAAACAAGTTTCAGCAAACCTCGTCAAATATTTCCTGCAAGATTTGTCATGGTTATAATTTTCAATAAAAATTGTTGTTGGCTTAAAGGAAAAATGTTTCAATTTTGTATTTGTCTTAACCTCCATCCTGCATCTTTATTAAAAAAATCCCTCTACATAACATTTTGAAGAGACAGCTTGTTTTATTTAAAGACTGAAAGTATGACACAGTAAATCATCCATTTTTAAAATTACTTTCCATTTTAGCGGTGCTCACCTTGTCTGACAATCTGAGTGAAAGCTTTTACCTTGACTATGAAAGTGTTCTCTTAGGCCAGGGCTTTCATCACAACTGTTCCTATGTTCCAGTGAGCTTTCACTGGCAAAAGTTCATTTTGAGGGCCCTGCAGACTAAATAATGAATATTAGAATCACCAACAACAGTCCCCTAGATCACAAAAAAGTCCTTTGTCATTCCAGAAGAAATGTGTTTATTTCATCTTATTAAAGAGTTTTTGTCCTAAAGCATCCTGTTGTATCATACAATATGATCCAATGCTTCCTGACCAACAGTATAAATATTCTTTGATGTTTCTAGATACTTGACAAGCTGGTTTTGCTTCTGATTGTGAAGAAACTTGCTTATTTTTTTCCCATTGTTGTTTTTCACATACATCGAGGTTTTTTAAAGCATCATGGCACAAAGTTTAATTTTACTGTGTAAACTTGAATTTGTCCTTTAGAGGGTGGTTTTCATTTAAACATTTAGTAAGTTGGTTGCTGTCATTCTGATCAATAGAATTGGCATTTAGTCAAAATCCTGGTAATCAAGAAAATAGCAAAGCATAAGTCCTCTCTCCTCCCCCACTTTTCTGTTTCACCCCAGGTTTTAAGAGGATAACAGGCTTATAACCTGCATCTCCCCAAAGAATCTGAATTTGGGAACTTTTCGAAGGACAGTTTTAAGAACTGAAGGCTGCTTCCCTAGAGGTGGCTACTAAATTGTCCTAGGGCCAAAGAGAATGAGTGAAGGACTGGATTGAAGTGGGCCATATTTCTCTCCCTGAAGACATATTTGTCCTCTGGTAGGCCTGGGCTTGAAAAAAGACACAGCCGTTTTCTAATATTATGTATGATAGTTGGCTTTTTCAAAATATAAAATATTTAGTGATGTGGAAGGAAATAGCAATTCTAGAATTTTCTGTGGTAGGAACATTTAAATCCAGATACCTCTAAGAAATCTTTCAAAATTAACTCTATGTTGCTTGTGTATGTCTGTATTGCCAAAGTTGCAACCAGTAGTTTGTTCCAAGAGTTTTTAAACTGGATCAGACATTCATATTTAGAGTAATAGTATGACTGCATTTTTCCAGAGCAGAACACATTTTGGAGCATTTACATAAAACCATATTCCTGCAATTTTATATCTTGATAAAAGCATTTTAATTTTATTAATTCAACAAGAAGATTCCATAATGTCATCTTCAAAATCGTATTTATTTTATTGTTGGGAAACAGCAGCTCGTTACTAAAAGGAAATTACAAGCTCTCAATTACACCACAGAATATTCTTGGCTGTAACTGACAATATTTATTCATCACAAGCTACCCATTTGCTCAGACCAGGAATTACTGAAACAGAGTGTTTCTATTGTGTTTTTGAAAATCAAGTTTAACTTTTAACTTTTAACTTTTAAAATATAATTTATTGGGTGATAGCCCTTTATTGTAGGGCTACCCAATATAGGAAAACCCAGTTCTATGGGTTTTTTTTTTTTTTTTTTTTTTTTTTTTTTTTTTTTTTTTAATCCATTACAGACATATACTGTACCTCCTTTTTAGAGTTGCTTACCCTGGGTCTGCATAAGAGTGCTGAAATCTCTCTTTTAAACAGACAGCACTGATTTTTTTCAGCTTGCAGTGCTCAGAGTAATACTTCTAGGCTGAGCTGAAATGGGGTCCTGAGCCCATGGGCAGGGGTCAGGAGATGCCCTGGGGAAGGCCTGGAAGGGTCAGGAAGGTCCAATAGTGCCCTCAGGGCCCTGACACCTGCCTAACACACTCACCTCTTCTCTGAACAATTCTGGCCACCACACCTAATAATGATTGTTTAAAGTGTTTTTTTCTTTTTTCAAGTAGGATTATCGTTTTTCTATGTCATCCTTTAGATAAAATTTCATAATAATTTCTTATAGGTACATTACTTCTATTAAAAATAACATACACAAATCTGACTGCCACTTCCATATTTTTTTCAAAGCAGTCTGAAGTTACATCATAATACTGCAAATATTATATTGAAGATTTGTTCTGTTACTGTGGGTATTTTCAAGCTTACATGTCTCATTCACAGATACTGGAGCACAATCTTCAGATGAAAATTCTTATATTCTTTACCTCAAATCTCCTGAAGCATGGCAACTAAGCCTTAAAAGATAAAGAAAAGAGTGTCAAGAGCCTCTCAGTTGAGGAAATTCTCCTAGCACTTGTTTGTTTCATTGAGAAAGCCTTTAGTGGTATTTCATTGACAATTTATTTATTTACTTCTGGGGTTTATTTACTTCTGGGGTTACTTTCTCTGGTATGCTGATTATTTATTTAGTGATCAAGATTATGTGGGAAAATGCAAAAAAACCCACAGATTAGTACAAAACAATCACAGATTTAAGGGAAACCCCAAAGCTTAACTTAAACACACATCATGTAACTTTTAAAAAAATTAAATAAAATCAGCCCCTAGTTATCTTAAATTCCTGTAGAGAACTGCACATGGGGTATATGACATGTGAACAAGAGCCTATGAAACAGCATCAGGTACCAGAAGAAATGGCACAGCAGGAGTGCAGGGAGTGATGCACATGCAGCAAGTCAAGAGATTAAGAAAACGCAAGAAAAAATATAGGTAGGAATGGAGAACTGGCAGAATTTTGGTGTAGGGACAACTGTACTAAGTCCATGATGTGAAGAAATCCCCACAACAGAGATACAGAGCAACAGCAGTGTGGTACAACTCAACGTAGACCTGAGGATTTGTCAAGGGAAAATATAAGAGATACCAAAGATTGTGCACCATTGTCAACCATTTAGGATGAATCCAGAAAAAGTGATGAGGGCTTGACCATTAGAGCACAGCAAGAGTTGACTGCTCTCTAAAAATCAGGAGCTAAGTCTGGTAACACAGCCCATGAGCAGGAGCAGGGCATGCTCATGGGTGGCAGCTGGTGTCTACCAAGAGTCCAGCTCATCAGACAGGTCTGTAGTGATAAGGCAGGTCCAAGGTCAAGCTGGGAAATCAGTTCTTGGGTCAGGATAAGGATCAGGATCAGGTCTGGTGGCCATAATCAGGGTCAGACACAGCTGTTGATGATGGGGCAGGTCCTTAGTGACAAAGCAGATCCTAGGTCAAGCCAGGAAGCCAGTCTGCAGCTCAGAGTCCCAACCAGTGGCATTTATGACCAAGGACAGGCATGGCTGCGGCAGAGCTGGGGACTACCATGATAAATGTCATAACTCAGGCATGGCCTGAAGCTGCAGGGTGAAGCTGGGCCAGGGTATAGGGGGAGGCCTCACCTGAAGCTGATCAGGCCCTGAGGCCCCATGATACTACATGCCCCTTGCCCTCCTTGTCACCATAACTAACCCTGCCCAGACACATACATGTTTGTGTTTATGACTAGGAAAGACTAAGTATGCATGAGAGTGAAATCTATGGAACCCTGGCCTAGACACATACATGTTTGTGCTTATGAGTAGAAAAGACTGATTATTTGTAAGAGTGAAATCTATGGAGAATGACTACTACTGAAATATGTCTTGTTTAAAATAAAAAATGGCTGATGCCTTCTCTGTGGTCTTGTATAGAGCCTTGTTACATTTATTGTTATAGCCATACTCCCTTCCTTCATTTATCCAAATTGTAAGTAAGCAACCGTGCTTGAATCATTTGTTTGTCAGCTCATCAAAACAAATTGTTCTTCTCTCTCTCACTCTTTATTACTCAGAAGGATCTCTGGTTTTGCCACAGTTTTAGGGATAATACTATAACAAGAAAACCGACATAGTCTTGCACATTGTAAATAAATCAAATTTAACATTGTATAATTTGTTCCTGTATAAAAGGGAAACTTTTACAAACCACTGGCTGTTTCTCAGGCAAGCCCCTGGAGGGTGAGAGGACAGCAGAGAAAACAGAAAGGTGGCTCCGGGGCCTTTGCAGGCTCCTAGACCTCCAGCATGGGGCCAAGAGGCTCTTCAGCAGTTTACCTCCTATTGTGGGACACGGGACAGGCTGCTTTTGACTTTCTGTTTTATGAACCTCTTGGCTAATGAGCAAATGATTAAAAAGCATTGGAAACATATAAGCATAATTAACAGTGTTTTTCATGACAGCAGCATTAAAAGTTGTTTTAGAAATAGAACAGCAAGATATTATTTTCCATATAACTTTTTTCATTGAGGATTTATGTCCATAGTGACTCACAGACCACTGCTGTTGTTCTGCTATGAGAGATGAGTCTGTAGGCAAAACATAGACCAGGTGAGCAAAGACAGCATGTTCAAACACAACACTTTTACCTGTAGATTTATTTACAAAAAGGTTAAACTTGCTCTAGTGCTGCAACAGCAGGAGTTCTTCACAGGAGGGTTTTTGTTTGTTTTTCAATTACAGGCAGACAGATACGCTTAAAGCGGCGGCTGAGACCTGCGACAGTCTGTGTTAGACTGGGACCTTGTTTTGCATGTCAAGTGCATGTGCTCTAATTGTGCGAAAGATGTGCCACCCCCAGAAGCACATCCTTCAGGGTGGAACAGCATCTCCTGCAAATAGTTTTTCAGCAGGTACTTCTGGAAAAAAACAAGTTTCAAGACTATACCCTTCAGTATCTTTCCTTATTCATCCTGACAGCAAAAAACCCCTTAGAGAAAACCATTGCATTCAAAGCTGTGCTGGGAAAGAGAGATCCCATTGGGGCACATTGAATGGGGATTATCTAGCCCTTCCTGAAATGAGGAACTTAACATATTTTAAAGGGAAAACGAAAATTTCTATGATCACAGGTTTCCTTGATCTCAGGGAGGAGGGAAAACATCTTCAGTGATACATTCAACCTATGTATGGCAAAAGTGCAGCTAATTAAGAGACACTCCCTTTTCCCTCAGCTTCCTGGAATTCTAAACCCTCATCAGAGACAGTAATTATTTTGGGAGTCTTTTACTATTCCACTCATCAACGTGTTTACTTCCTTCTTATGGCATTTCATAAATATGTTTGTAATTCTTTCTTTCTGATGAGACACAATAACTCTGCAGCCTGGTTTTGTTTCTGTGTGCTGACGAAGTGCTAAAACTGACTCAGTAAATGGTTTCTGACCTTCGAACAATCGCAGAGCCGTGCAGACCTTCCCTGCAGGGAGGGGTTAAGAATCAATGCATGTAAAAATAGCATAATCTAAACTTGGGGTTTGATATTAGTTATTTGGAGAGATATGTGCCTCTTAGAGAGACCACTCTTACACCACTGTGTAAAACAGCTCTCTCTAGTTTTTCCTGTGATAGTCTGCCAACCCTTTGCATAGTTCAAGGCTCTGAGCCAAGGCCATTAAGATCTACTACAGCTGTATTATGAAGGATCAAAATACACATCAAACAGAGCTTAAATCCAGCATTTTAAAGGCAAAGCCCACCATTTCTTTCAATTGCTTTTTGGTATTTTAAAAATTTGTCATTTTTTTCCCCCCTGTAATGAATTAGCAAATAAAGCATTAACAGACTTATCACTGCACTCATGCCCTTGCCCCTCCAACACTGTATTTTAGGGGACAAAATTTATGACAGTACTAAGCACATCCTCCTTTTCTGTTAAATGTGTTAACTGTTTTCTGTTTCTGTGTGTTGTGGGCTTTTATTCCCCCCCCC